ATTAGATATCAATTAACAACACAACAACTTGGTTTCTCGGATGCAATAACTTAAACAAGGAAGCCTAGTACCATTGTCAAGGTAGAATAACTAGGTAGAGACCTACCATGACATTAGCTAACTTAACTAAGTCACCTATGGGATTAACCCATTGACTACCCTTTAAATACTATGTCTTTCTGATACTTGACTAGGGATTAAGTTTTTGACTTTGTACTTTACTCAATTGGTCACTTGTCATCAATATAGCTAAACCTGACCCTATACTATGGTCGCTTTATACATGTGTATCTCGAATTTACCCACACATGATACCAATTAAGTCTTAGAGGAGATTCAACACAACTGTTCACTAGAATATATATATATATTATTTCAATACTCAATTCATAATATGTGGGCTCACTTGATGTAACTAATTTAATTAAGAATGACAACAGGGTGGGCCGGCTATGAATTTTATAATATTCGTCCAATTGGTGCGAAAGATCACCTGATTTACCTAACTTATATGACTCTCTTGAAACAATTTGTGCCTGATTGGTTCATTTAATTCTTGATTTTGCTGTAAATTCTTGATTTTTTTGTCAGACATTTCAATTCTGAACGTAAGTGTTATGGTAACAAATTTGTTTGAGGTGTCTATTTTTCCTTTTTCTTGTCCAATTGGGGAAAGGTGCATTAAGTAAAATTACTGGATTCTATTGCTGGTGTTTCATCTGGTAGTAACCCAATGGTTTTCTGGAATTAGGAAGTTAGCAGAATCTGTGAAGTTGCAGTTGGTGTCAAAATCAAATTCAATTTCTAGGTTTACAACAATATCCCAAAACCACCAATAACAACAGCTTCTTGCTAAGTTCACAAATTTCATCCTAAAAAAGTCCTTTCCGATAACATTGCCATGCAGTAAACAAAAACAAAAAAAGAAAATATTATTGCTAGATTCTAAATTATAAACTAGCAAATTATAAGAATGGTCGATGCATGCCTTAGAAGATATTGATAGGTGCAAAAAGCCTCAGGTTGGCAGCAATGGGAACAACATGTCCACATGCTAATAAAATAGGTAGTATTCCAAATCCCAAAGCAAAAACAAAACGACGAACAAAGAAAAAGGACAACACTACAAATCAGAGTAAAGCAAAGCAAATAACCTCACAAGAAAAAGGAAAAATAGACACCTCAAACAAATTTGTTATCATAACACTTACGCTCAGAATTGAAATGTCTGACAAAAAATCAAGAATTTACAGCAAAATCAAGAATTAAATGAACCAATCAGGCACAAATTGTTTCAAGAGAGTCATATAAGTTAGGTAAATCAGGTGATCTTTCGCACCAATTGGACGAATATTATAAAATTCATAGCCGATCCGCCCTGTTGTCATTCCTAATTAAATTAGTTACATCAACAAAGCAAATAACCTCAATGCAAATGCCTTTACTCGAAGGAAAATGCATGAGAAGCATTTTAAGAACGTACATGGAAGTAGCGGTGGCTTGCAATGGGCTCACGATGCGTGCAGCGGCTCGCGATGCGCACAGTGGCTTACAGTGGCTCATGATGGGCATGGTGGCTAGCAACTCCCGGTGTGCGGTGCGCAGTGTGGTGCGGTGGCAACAACTATGGCTGTGCGGTGCAGACTGCGAAGTGCGGCCTAATGAGTAGGGATGGCAATGGGGCGGGGTGGGTACGGGTTTCATGATACCCGTCCCCGTCCCTGCGAGCCAAACTCATACCCATCCCCGTACCCGTACCCGTACCCGTACCCTTCGGGTATGTGATTTTCATCCTTAAAAATTTAATGATATGTAATAAATATAAAATTGATAAATCATAATTTTAATTTATAAATTTAATAAAATTAACTAACATAATTATTTATATTAATCTATTAATTTATGTGATTCGATTAATATAGAATAATATTTTTATCTTGTAAAAATTTAATGATATGTAATAAAGATAAAATTGATAAATCATAATTTTAATTTATAAATTTAATAAAATTAACTAACATAATTATTTATATTAATCTATTAATTTATGTGATTCGATTAAAAATGTTTTATAATAAAAACATGAGACGGTGCTTATTTTTTTTTACTTTTGATCTTAAAAGTTTTTCTTGACTTTTGCTCCTATTTTTTTATTTTATTTTTAGTCTTTCATGTAACTTTATGTTACTATTTTTGGTGATGTGTCAAACATATGGACACTTTGTCAAGTAATTTTTTTTTTTTTCAACCAATGTCCTAAGATTTTATCCCAAATAAATTTGGTTTAGTTAAGAGGTAAGTAAAATGTGAGCACAATTTTTTTCAAATAGATTTAAGTCATTTGATGATTGACATATTATCAAAATAGTGAAAAAAGTTATGGCAAATTGGCAGTTACTTAAAACAAATTTTTTTTTTACAGAAACTAAGAAAAAAATATTTAGGGATAAAAAAAAAACAGGTACATTTTAAGTACAAAATATATATTTAAACTAATAATATATGTAAAGTATTTATTAATTTTGTTAATGGCTAATTTTATTGATTCACACTCTTATTATTTTTTTTCTCTCTCAAATATATATATATACACATATATATATATATAGAGAGAGAGAGAGAGAAAGAAAGAAAAAGAGAGAGGATAATTCAAACGACATCGGTGTAATTTTTACTAAGTATTATACTACTCAATAATTTTATATTAAATATGAATTTTATAAATTCAACCACTAGATTGAAAGTTTTTTACTCTTAGATCATATATACAAAATTTTATATTAATTCAAAATGATTTGATATTTCATTCTTATAAAACAAAATTAGCGTAATATATATATTTAAAATATAATAAACTATGAATACTTTGATTACCTTTAAGTTGTTGTTCAATTTTAACAAAATTTGATATAAATATATAAAGTGATATGAATTTTCAATCTAACGATTAAATTTACAAAATTCACATTTAATATAAAATTATTGAACAGTACAATACTTAGTAAAAGTTACATCGATGTTATTTGAATTCTTTATATATATATATATATATATATATATATATATATAAA